GGTGTTGAGTTTAGAATCATAACATATTATTTCAAAAAAATTGAGCTGAAAATTTAACTCCCAGCTCTACCCTGGGTTACTCAAGAATATTCAAATCGTTTTTGCCCGCACGTTCGGGCAAATCCCGTTTATTTATAAAAGCGAAAACATGACATAAGTTATTTATTTTGAGTGACTATACCAATTTTTGTAATATTTGTTTATGAAATTTACCGGAATTAGTTAGTGTTACCACGAAGAAGGTTTATTAAAATGTTCCTCAAATAATAGTAGTAATGATGAATGGCATGAATGATCCAAGGCCCAAGGGGAACTTTTTATAAGTTCCCAGAAATAGTACCTTTCTGACCTTTCTGACTTGTGTACAGAATTATTAATAAAGATTCAAAAGAATTGGAAATTCAAGTCATTAAAAAAAAAACGGACATATCTTTTGATTATCTTATATAAAATGCCTCCCTCCCTCCCCCCCCCCTGGCGTAAATGTCTCGAGTAAATATGAGTGAACTTTGCACTTGTTTCAGGGGGGGGTGGTGTTTGCTATGAAATTAATTTATAGACATTAATAGATAGATCTTGAAATTTATAATGGCCAGTGAAAAAGGCAAAGTTGCTATCATAGGCAGGTAAAATATAGAAATTTCATAATAGAAAATGTGAATTTTTATAACAATATATGTACACATTTCATAAATATTGATTTGACTGATGATTGCATAATATTTAGCAATATTTTATTCCTACCATATTGTTGTGTTTTTAGTGGTTTGATTGGCAAGTCTTGGTCAGTGGTGAGTAAATAAATTACTACAGAAGGTGCTTTCTCAATATATGTGCAATCCTATCCTAAGCAGTCTGTGTCAGTGTTGGTAGCAAGAAAAACATTAGAGATATGGATCTGCAATCCTATCTTAACCCTGTATATTAATTTATGTATAATAGATTTTGGTTGCTCGTATATCAAGAAAGTGCCCAAAAAGCTCAATCTCTCCCCCACAGAGGTGTATAAACCCTGAAATGTAAGACATCCAGACAAGGTGTAAATGTGTGCTGCGTTCGCAGGGTATTATTAGGTATTGTTGAAGAATATTGTCCCATGATGCGGGTCCCATGATGCGGGTATTATTAGGTATTGTTGAAGAATATTGTCCCATTCAACTCATTAAGTGGCAACACTCACCTTGACGAGTAAAGTAATTTGGCATTAGACAGTAAAATAATAAATTAGGGTGCATTGCAGGGCACATTAAAGTTGGTTAAATATTAAATTAGCTAACAGTTTCCTTCCTTAGTTGATAAATCAGTTAGTTGGTCATTTGTTTGCAGAATGCCTGAATTAGTATATAGTTCATGTTTCAAACACGCATTAGTCTAAAAATGAAGTCATTCCACTATAGCTGTTCTGTCGGGCTGGATACGAAGTGTATTTATATGATATTGATGAAAAACAAGTATCAAATGCCTTGTCTGGGATTCTTGAATCTTTACAAGAGTTAGAAGGCAAAGGATTGCTAAAGAATTCCAAAATAACATCTGCTCAAGAGGCTCATAAATTGGTTCATGGCTGTAGTGATATTGCAGAAGCCATTGAAGGAGCAATTTACATACAGGTTTGTAAAATTAATATGAGTATTCTTATGTTCAACATTGACCAGACTGCATTGTTTGCAAAACACGCGCGGGATGTTTGAAACTGTCATTTATAATGCGCGCTTGCAGTTTGTTGCGTAGAAATATGCGCGCCAAATTGTGCACACTGATTGTAACTCGCGCAGTGTTTCCACAATACACCATTCAAATTATTTGATTGGCGTCACATTGGCCAATGATTTGGCCTTAAATTTCCCAAAATTTCCTTGAATTTCCTTTTTATGGAATTTTGGGGTCAAACGTTTCTTGAAATTTGAAAAAGGAAACGCTATTCAGCCTCTGGAAGTTGTGCGCGCATGTTCCGTGAAAGAAAGGTGTGCACTTTTTCATATATTTTCAACTAAAATGCGCGCATTTTTGGTCGAAAAGCGCGCAATGTGTAAAAAATGCGCGCGGAATATGTTCCGCGGGCACGACAAAGAATGCAGTCTGGACCAATTGTACACTTCATTTATAAAATTCAAATTGTCATGTCAAAGTCCCCTACTTCCCCTCCTCCCGTCGTCCTATTATTGCGAAGTTTGTAATTTCCCCGGGGTTCACGGGCAGAATACACGGATAAAATACCAAATTCCCCCTCGTTTTCCCCCGGTTGTCCCGGGGGTGTACCCCCCGGGCAGGCCGTTGATATGTGCATAAGCTCGTTTACGTCCTTAGATGCAGGTCAACTATTTGAACTTAAAAGACTCACTTCTACTTTTTATACACACTGTAAATTCAAATTATAATACTGGGTTATCCGAGAAATGTTGAATCCTTTCAAATTTAAACTAGAAATACATACATGGCATGCAGCAACCCTCACTCGCCTTACTGACCAAGAATGCAACTATATTCAATGAACATGAAGTATACTAGTAGATTGTTGTCATATATAACAACACGTCAATTCATACACGGCAAAAAACGCCCAGCCCGCTGCTCAACAGGACTAAACAATGTTTTGCTGCCCACGTTGTTCACACTTGTCAACAATATTGAACAATATTGTTGAGCCTGAATCGGGTGTAACAATATTGTTCAATATTGTTGACAGCTATGAACAATGTGGGCAGCAAAACATTGTTCAATCCTGTTTTCATCAGTATTGCATCAACCTGAGCGTTTTTACGCGTTTATTCTTACGGTATATTTTTTCAGTAAAAATGAGAAAATAATCAATGGCAAAAATAACCTGGTTTCATTGACAATTTTTTAATTTGAAGAATCACCCGTATGTTATTAAACTTGAATTTGGTGTAAAATAGGATTTATATTTGCATAAAACGTTTTAATTTGAAATGTTGAAGAAACTACATTTTCGTCCTCATAAATTTCGTGTTTGAAATAAAACCCTTTTAAGCCAATATTCGCTAGTATTCTTTTATATGTAAAGTTCGTTAATATTTTGAAATAATAAACTGAAAGATAGTCTTGCATTGACAAAACGTAAACTTTCTGCAAATTCTGGAATTAAAGTACAGTGAACAGATTGAATGCGGTTACACGGGCCATTTATATAAATACGCAAGAGTTTAGTCAGGGGCGCACATTCAAAAAAAATTTGGGGGGGTGTCCTATTTTCCGGGACCGACTTTTGTAGTATTTGTGTTTGATAAGAAAAGCCAACTATTTTAAGGTGTGCACAGTACTCGTGAACGGTGAACCGGTGAAAGTTCGGTTTAATTAATGTCACAGTCTTGTTATAAATACAATTAATATAAAACTTAAGAGTTGCATGGACGTATGGTACAGGGCCGTAGGAAACTCTTTTCGATTTGGGGGGGGGGGAGGCTGAAAGCGAGGGCCGAGGCCCGAGGAAATTTTTAAATTTAGAGTCTCTGCAATGCCATTTCCTGGACTTTGGGGAAGATTTAACAGAATTCTGATAGTCAGAAAAAAGCGTTTTAGTATGTCGAAATTTACAATTTAGTAGTACTAAATGGCCGAAGGCGTATTTAATTAACTATTATATGTTGAATAAGTATAGGTTATTTTGAGGCAACGAGGGGATATGTGATTTATTCACCGAGGCGCGCAGCGCCGAGGTGAATAAACACATATCCCCGAGGTGCCTCAAAATAACGTACTTATTTTTCACACTGCGAGGTCGCGTTAATGAGTCAGAAAAGAAATAATTCTTAATGCCATTTTGCCTTCGTGATGTTGTTTTTTCTCATTTTTTGTGCTGCAAAGAC